TGTGTGTGTGTGTGTGTGTGTGTGTGTGTGTGTGTGTGTCTCTGAACCTATAGGCTGGGTGCTTGCTCTAAATCATCATCTTTCTTTTTGTCCAGCTTGAGACAGAGAATCAGCACCTGAAAGGCTGTAATGAGCACCTGGTAGAACAGGTGGGGATCCTTCAAGATGCCCTGGAAGGTAGGCAGGCATGTGAGCATGTTTGTATTTCGGGGTATGCAGGTATGTGTTTTGGGGTCTAGGTGTGTATAATGGGGCATATGGCTGAATCGAGGGACCCCCTGGACTTTTCCTCATGTGCCTACTTTTGCCTCAACCATAGCTCTTCAGGTGGCACCTGTGGGCAAGTTGCCGGTGGGTCCCCAGGAAGCCCCAGAGCAGAATGCTGTTACTTCAGGGCCTGGAAGCCAGCTAACGGGTCAAGACAGTCATCCCCAAACTGAGAGTTCCCTGAAGGTGGCTGTGCCTGCACCTTCTCCAGGTGCCCTGGCGAACAAGACCTCTGTTCCCAAAGCTGGAAACCCCTTGGAGGACTCTGAGTCCAACTTGGCTCAGTCTGGGGAAAGAGCAGAGGCCAAGACTCCTCAGATACATCTGAGAAGAGAAGACTCTCCCGGCCAGGTCTCAGGGAAGCCTCACATCCCCAGATGTGGTTCTGCTTCCTGGGATGAAGGCCTACTTAGTGCTCAGGGAAGGATGCTCCCTGAGACAAAGAGCTCTACTAGGGAAGGTGGCCCTGGCAGCAGCCTGACCCTTCCAAAAGCACGGGCCCCCAGCATCCTCCGGGACAGCATCCAGCTGGCCAAGCGACACCACAGTCAGCCCCAGGTGGGCCCTGGGCACTTTGACCATGTGGTGAGTATTGAGAGCGGGGCCCTCTCAGCCCTCCACCCAACCAGCCTCCCCAAGGTGAAAACCGAAACTGAGCTCTGGGGGGAACCAGAGAAGATGGAGATGGAGGAGCCACCCCCAGCAAGCAAGAAAGAGGGACTTGAGAGCCTGAAGATCCCTGGACCTGACCCGGAGGAGGCAGAGTTAGGGAACAAACCGCCCACTCCACCCCTGCATCGGTTCCCATCGTGGGTAAGTGGTCCCTTGGGGCTGCACACGGAGCCCACCCATGTGCTGAGCTTCCCAGGGAGCTGCCACTCTTCACTTGGCTCTGGGTACTGGCTCAGAAGCACACCTAGGCAGAGGCAGAGCCGGGTTCGAGAGGACAAACAGGGGGACTGGCCTCCTGAGCACTTGCCACGTGCCACACCCCAAGGGACACGGTCTGGTGGTTAAGAACACTGGTCCCGGAACCAAGCAACTAGGGTTGAATTGGGCATGTTCCTTACCCTCGGGGCCTCGATTTCCCCATCTGTAGAAAGGGTTAAGATAATAGCATCTACTGAATGTGCTCATATTCCATATACTTAGGGTAGTGCCTGGTTCAGTACTTGCTTGAGCAGTTGGGCACTACCCAGCCATCTCACCCCCCACAGCAGAAAAACAGTTAGCACACCCAGCTGCTTACCAGTAGGTTGGAGGTTCAAGCCTATCCCGAGGCACCTCAGAAGCAAGGCCGGGTGATCTGCTTCCACAGAGTCAGCCTTTGAAAGTCCTAGGGACCACAATTGTACTCCGAAGCACAAGGGGCACCCTGAGTCCGAGTCAGCTTGGAGCCATGGTGGCTAACAGCGGTGCTCACGTCCTGCCTGGACATGTGTAGACGTGTTTCTGTGGGTGTGGGTGTGTGCCTGTAAGAGAGTGAGAGAAGGAGAATCACTAAGAGGAACTATATAAAATGCCCTGGGTGACAAGGTTTTGCACCTAAGCAGCTAATCCCCGGGGAGTGAGCCATTGATGGGCTTTGGGCCTTCTCTCAGGCCCTGGATGCTCTCAGCAAGGCCCCAGGGGGCCCGGAAGGAGATAAACCACTTGAAGGAGCATTTGTCTAGTGTTTGCAATCCTCTTTACAGCTGGCTCCTCAAAAAACAAGGTACAGTGCCAGCTCTGGCCGAGGTTCCTGGGCAAGGTGCCCTGTTCTAGATGAGCTTAGAAACCCACAGTGGCCCACGGGCACAGAAACCACGGGCAGGGGTGGGGGACAGGCAGGGGGAACCAAAAGACTGAGAATTTAGAGGACAGTTCTCAAGCCGAGGGAGTCTGCTCCAGTCATGTGCACATTATAGTCTGCAGATCCTGTAACCACCGAGTCTCAGAGTGACCTTGTAAGTTAGCATTCTATGACCTCTTCTCTCCAGCAGCTCCAGGTTTGGCTGCTCCTGGGGTTACAGGCCTGCCCTGGTTTGTACTCCCTGATGGCTCCTAGCAGGACTGCGCCTCCTTATGCTAACCTCACAGCAGGGTCACAGTCTGCCTGTCCTTCAGAGGCCCAGCCTGATGACCCCTCTTTGGATCCCTGCCTCCCGCCCTCGTCTCTTGTGTCCTCACCTCTCCTTTCAGCTTTCCCTTGCTGCCCCTTCTGGAACCCCAGTACACTCACTGCTTCCTCGCAGAGCCCATCCTACATGGAGAAGCCAGCCACCAGAGCTCCCAGCAGCCCTGGTGACTCCCTGCAGTTGCCCGAGTGGGCCTCAGTTTGCCCTTTACCGTCAGTGGGGCGAGATACGGAAAAACAGAGGCGGGGCCTGTGGGTTGGTTGGGTGTGAGCAGGGGAAGTCATTAGAGCAGCGGTTCTCAACCTGTGGGTTATGACCCTTTGGGGGTCCAACACCCTTTTACGGGGGTCGCCCGATTCATCACAGTAGCAAAATGACAGTGTTGAAGTAGCAACGAAAATAATTCAATGGTTGGGGGGGGTCACCACCACATGAGGAACTGTATGAAAGGATCGTGGCATTAGGAAGGTTGGGAACCACTGCATTCGAGGCTCCCCGAGTCTGTGGTCTGAGTCAGATCTTAGGGTAATTAGGGGATGAGGGGGAGTGGAGAATGGCCATGCTTTCTTAGAAAAGTAGCTTTTGTGTGGAGGTTCTGGAGTGTGCTCTGGTCAAAGTGAAACTTCCGACTGGATAGGTGGGCTGGCCGTGAGGCGTGCCCAGGATACGACATTACCGTGCTGGGAAGGCCAGGGTCCTGGCTCCTCAGTAGCTGGCTTACACTGAGCATGCCCTCGCCTTTCTTGTTACTGACAGAGAAGGAGTAAGATTCAGAGACTCGGGCTTTTGACCCTCTCCTCTGCCGAGAATGCAAAGGAAGCGGGGAGGCAGGAGAGGGAACGAATGTCTGTGGGGCCACTGGTGCTGTCCCAGGGGGTCAATCTCACAACAGCCCAGAAAGATAGTGCTCTAGTGGCCCCTCCCGGAGCAGAGGAAAGTGATGCTCACGGTGATGTGACCAGGCCCCGGAGTCTTCAGCTAGTAACTGGCCAAGCCTGCATGTGGACCCGGGTCTACTGCCCCACACGTTTCCTCCATGCCCCAGGGGGTCACGCGTGGGCACACTCCTGGGCCCTGACGGAGTCCCTGACCCCACATGACCTCTCATTCCAGGAGAGCCGCATCTACGCTGTGGCTACTTTGGGCATGCAGCTCTCAGAGGCAGCTCCCAAAAGTAACACTGCCAACTACGGTGAGTCTGAGTGAGGGGCAGAGGGAGCAGATGCCCGGGGTGGGGCAGGAAAGGGGAGGGGGATGCCTGTGAGCACCACCTCTGGTTCCCATGTCCCTCCTGCAGCAGGGAAACCACACAGCTGGGGCTCCTGGAGATGTAAGGAAGTTGTGCAGGTTGAGCTCACTGCCCGGCCCTGCAAGGCAAAGGCCCGTGTCCTCAAAGGAAGCCGGGAGGCAGGAAAGGGATGCAGGTCTCCAGCCCAGCCTCCCAGCTGCCTAGGCGCCTTTCTGTAGTGTGAGGAACCCCAGAAGCAGTGTCCCCACTCTCCTATAATCTGCAACTCACCCCAGCAAAGTGGGACCCTGGGCAAGTCTCACGGAGGCTAAAATGATTACAAAGCAAGGCTTAGAGTTTCTGTTGTAGTGGGACCATTAATGCCCTGGGCCCATGGTCCCCTAAGGGAAGCCGAGGACAGCCTTAGCTGCCCCCCCCCCCCAAGAGCTCTGTCCCAACTTAGGGCAGCAGTTCTCAACCTGGGGGTCACAATCCCTTTGGGGGTCAAATGATCCTTTCACAGGGGTCGCCTAAGACCATATTTCCAATGGTCTTAGGAACCAAGACACCGCTCCTCTATCCGTCTCCAGGTGGGTGGGCCCACATGCAGATACGTCCACATATGGGGTCACCACCACAGGAGGAACTGTATTAAAGGGTCACGGCATGAGGGGAAGGTTGAGAACCACTGCCTTAGGGGAGTCATCCCTGCCCTCGTCCCTCCCCCGCTTTACCAGGCTATGCCACCGAGTTCATCTTGTCCCTCCTCCCTCCTCTAGCTTCAAGCCCTCCTGCCCTTGCATCCTTGGGACCTTTCTCTGGCCTCGTCTATAGGAACATCACGGTGCCTGTCTACACAGCCTTGAAAGGGGTAAGGTCCAAAGACCGGTGGGGGGGGGGCTGCAGGAGAGGCCCCTCATTGTGGCCTGCAGTGGCTGGGGTCTAGCTTCTACATGCACTAGGCCTTTTGTGTTCACACATATTTCTATTTTTATTGTTCATCTATATCAGATTTTTATTATAAATATGTTTCTGAGAATTTGTATGAATGTGCACAAGTAAAAAGTGAAAGGTTATCCCCACCGTTTCTGTCTTTCCCACTGCCCAGGTCTCTGAAGGCAGTGGGACTCCTGCCAGAACAGTTTATATACCTATATACACTCAAGTAGAGCCGACCCGAACATCGGCTGAGGCACCTAATTTTACCATTAAAAACTGCGTTAAAATGTGCTGAAAAACTCGGCTTATACACGAGTATATACAGCATGTTCAAACAGACCCAGGTACATTCCCATACATACCTCTATATATTTAAATACGAAAACCAGATATCGTAGTGTGCTACCGCATATTTTCATACATGGTTTTTCTCTGTGTTATTATATAGTTTTTGAAATTATACCTAATACCTAATATACAAACTTTTCAAAACCCACTGTCATTGAGTAGATGCAAGCTCATAGCACCCCTCTCTAGAAATGCTGAAGCTATGAATCTTTATGGGAGCAGACAGCCTCGTCTTTCTCCCTTGGAGCAGCTAGTGGGTTTGAAAAACCGACCTTGCGGTTAGCAGTCCAACGTTAATCCAACAGGATCACCAGAGCACCTTAAAACTTTTCAGAGAAGAGTGAGCCAAAAGTGAAATTTATTTTCATACTGCCTTTCCATAATTCCTATCTCCAGAGGCAACTATCATTAGTGGTTTGGCATTTCTTCTACAAAACCATCTGCTGCATGTACAAATACAAGTTCCTTTTCGTGTCTTCTCTCACCCCTCTCTCTTTCCCTGTCTCTCACACACACTACACAAGAGGGACTAGACAGTACACATTCACTCAACTGTCAGCTCATCCTTCCACACTTCCCCACACAACCCTGCCTTCTCCCTCCCACTGCTGTGCAGCCCCCCTCTTATAGAGAAACCAGAGGGCCCTAACCTATTTGCCACTGATTGGCATTCAGGTCGTGTCCCTATTTTTCTCAAAAGTAAATAAGATGAACATCATTGTGCAAATATTTTTAGTGTATTATGGGTATATAATCCTTAAGTTAATATTAAATATAATTAAAATTTGTATACATGTATATAAGGAGCCTTCAAAAAAATTGGTGGAGAGATGAAATTAAAAGATAATGGAAGCCCCTACAGACTCGTACATATTTCTAGAAGGGAAATTCCACTAGAGGTGGAATTTCTGGATAAATTACATGCATGGGGTTGGTTAAAAAAAGTTATCATTTTGTTTTTTGCTGTTGAGAATATGCACAGCAAAACATACACCAACTGTTCCCTGGTACAAAGCTCAAAATCATCAGAGAGACCAGGCTCACTAGTTGGATGGAGACTGGTGAGGCCCCCAGCACTCTGGGCCTTACCTTCAAACCGGGAACTGAACTCGCTTCCGCAGTAGAATAGTCAACTTGTGAGATCAAAGGGTAGCATTGACACAAGAACAAAGTTCAGAGGGTTAGGCCAGGAGGAGGAGCAGAAACAGGAAGCACAGGGAGCGAGTGGGTCAAGTGCGGCACATCAAGGGGATCGCAGAGGAGAATGCTCGGTGGATGGAGAACTGATGCTCGGCTCTCATCTCCCAACAACGCGTTTCTGGGTTTTTAATGCAAGAGCAATGATGCTGCGGAAACTCTTTAAGGCCAAGACATCGTTTTCATTGTTTGAGAAAAGGGGCTTAAAAATGAATAAAAACAAACACACCATCTCAACCATTCTGCATGTACAGAGCAGGGAAATTGGGCACAGGACTATCTATTCTTCAGGTTGCCCATCCAGTCCCACCATATGCATTCGTTCTATTTTGGTTGGAATATCAAATGATCTTCTTCAAAGGCGTTCTCTCACCTCAGAGTACCCATTTCCTCAGACCCATCCACACTGAGGCTCATTATTCGTCAGCAAAATGATCCATCCCAGTGTCTCAGTGTCCACACATTTTAAAAACGCCTGCCTGCAGTTGGCCTATGGCGTGCCTTTCTGGCCCCCTAGTGGCGGGGACCAGGAGTCACTGCAGCCTGGATGGGCAGCTCCTAGGGGGAGCACAGAAGACAGTGGGGAGGGGAGGAAGGCCCAAGGACACATTGTCAGGCCAGAAGGGGTCTGTGTTGCAGAGAGCCACTCAGATCAGCACCATGCCCTTTGTGGACGAGTCCTCTGGGTCAGACGATGACTGCAGCTCTCAGGCGAGTTTCCGAAACTCCGTCCCCTGCTCAGAATCCAGGAAGACCGGCGGACTGGGCAGTCCCCGGGCCATCAAGAGAGGTACAGGACTGAGAGTGAGAGACGTGTGGGACAGCAGGGGACACCTCACTTCCTCCGCAGGCATTCATACACTGCCGTCCCTGCTTGTCCTGGGTCCAGACCCCCATGACTCCTCCCTTGGCCCCCCACACATCCGGGCTCTGGGGCTGTACCACTTGGGGAGGTGTGGGACCCCGGCCTTGACTCCTCTCACCCACTAGGCGTCTCCATGTCTTCACTGAGCTCTGAGGGTGACTATGCCATCCCCCCGGATGCCTGCTCACTGGACAGTGACTACTCGGAGCCTGAACACAAACTGCAGCGCACCTCCTCCTACTCCACCGACGGGCTGGGCCTAGGCCTGGTGAGCCAGCTGGGAGCACTGTGGGCAGGGATGCGGGTGTGTGTGTGTGTGTGTGTGTGTGTGTGTGTGTGTGTGTGTGTGTGTGTGTGTGTGTGTGTGTGTGTGTGTGTTTTGAACCGCAGGATGCAGACGTGTGAGGCCCACAGGGCTGCCCCTGATGGGAGGTCGTGCAGTTATGGAGGTGCAGACCCCGGGAGGAAGAGAGGAGAGAACCCAGCCAGAAAGGCTGCTGAGGCTTTACACGCATTGCTTTTTATCCACACACTGACCCAGGAATGCCTCTTTCTCTTCCCCTGTGCTTCCTGGAAGAACCTTCTCCTGTCGGCTTCCCTGAGACTAGCAGCTCCTACAAAGGCTCGCTCAGGTCTAGCCCGTTCCTGGTCCTTCCTGGCCTGCCTATCCCTCCTACAGCCCCTCATCTGCCCCCTTTTCATAGTGAGCCGCCATCCTCCTGGTCCGCACAGGAGTCCTTCCACTCACGGCCGGCAGGTGCCGTTGCTTTAGCTGCCTCTGAGCTCTTAGTGAGCACACCCAAAACAACCAACCAGCCAACCAAACTCACTGCCATAGAGCCGATTCTGACTCACAGCAATCCTATAGGGCAGGGTAGAACTGCCTCGTGTGGATTTCTAAGACTGTCACTCCACAGGAGTAGAAAGCCTCATGTTCTCCCTTGCACCAGCTGATGGTTTCAAACGACCAACCTTGAGGTTAGCAGTCTGATGCATAACCACTGTGTCACCAGGGCTCCTCTGAACAAGCATGGTGCCCTGAAAAAATCCATTTTGGGTGCTCAGTACTTTGTTTTGTAATTAACGACAAAGCAGGAGCACAAGTAGACATCGTATGTGGTCTACATTTCCCTTTGCTGTCCCCCTTTTGCTCCCCACCCCCTTTCACCCCTGCAGGAGTCGCTGGAGAAGTCGGGCTACCTGCTGAAAATGGGGAGCCGGGTGAAGACATGGAAGAGACGCTGGTTTGTCCTGAGACAGGGGCAGATTATGTACTACAAGTCTCCGGTGAGAGCCTTCTCCACCGCAAGGGTCGTTAAAAAGACCCCGGACTGTGTGAGGCGGCAGCAGCTGGGGGCGGGGCAGGTGGCCTGAGACCAGAAAGGCAAAGGTCTGGCAGGTGGGGAGAAACTGCCTGGCTGTGCACCTGAGACATTAAGCAACCAGAGCCTGGGTCTCTTGATGAAATAAGACCCTGAGGAAATTAACACAGCTCAGGCCAGACACAGTTTAGGCCAAAGACACTTCCCAGGTCACCTGGCTTGGTGATTGCTACTTCCTTCAGAAGCCGGTTGCTTCTTAGGCTTTGTCCTGTGAGGGAGTTTTTTCCAGGATGCCCCCGGATCTGGATTGTTAACCCATAGCCTCCCCCGCCTCCTTCCTCCCCAAATGGAATTAGGGAGCCTTGAATACTGGGAATTAGTAAGACTGAACTTCCCTGAGAGATGGTGTTGTTTTCTTTTTTATTATTTAAAAAAAATTTTTTTGTTGTTGGTGTTAATGTTTTCAAGAAGACAAAAAGCTATATCGTCTGTTCCATGACTCCAGTTGATGATCGGCTTTCCAGCTCCTGGAAAACCATGTTACGGATTCTGGGGTGTGCCACTCAGGGAGAAAGACTGCTGTATGTCAACAAAGGACACTGGGAAGGGTCATGTGACACACATGCCACTTATTTTCCATTCTTGGCATAAGGATGCGGGAAAAGAATTTAAGGGCTTTACAGCTCAGTCATCTGTCCTCAACCTGTCCTTCTTGAGACCTGAATCAGAAGGACCCCATACTTAGTCATTGCTCCTCCATTCAGGTAGGACCAGGATCCAGAGCAGGTTACCCATCATGCCTAGCCCAGGAAAACACTCTCTTTATCCTGTGACCTGGAGTAAAGATATGGGGCTAAGTGCTGCTATGGGATGTTTCTCCACTCCAGCCTCTTTCCTCCCACTCCTTTCTTTATACAGAATGATGTCATCCGGAAACCTCAAGGTCAAGTGGAGCTGAACTCCCGTTGCCAAATTATTCGAGGAGAGGGTGCACAGACATTCCAGGTGAGCATGCTCCTAGAGGTTTGTATTGTAGACAGAAGGGGTGCTGGTTTGTATATGGTGGTGATGGAGACAGACAGGGTAACCTGAGCATGGAGGAAAGACCTTGGGCTGTGATCCTAGTTTGTGAGTATTAGAACGAGGAGGAGGCACAATGTGAGACCTCAAGGGAGGAGAAGAAAAGAAGGGAGAGGGCTCCTGGGTAGGAAGGCCCAACAGACTCAGAGATTGGTACCATCTTAGACCCAGGACCTTGTCCCATTCTCCTATCTCCCTGTCCCTGACTCTAACTCCTCATCTCCCACAGCTCATCTCTGAGAAGAAAACCTACTACCTGACGGCCGATTCACCCAGCCTGCTGGAGGAGTGGATCCGAGTCCTGCAGAGCCTGCTCAAAGTCCAGGCCATTGGGCCTCCCGCCCTGGCTCAGGGTAGCACCAAGCCTACTGTGAAGGGCTGGCTGACCAAGGCATGTAGGGCTGGTGGGGAGGAATGGGCCTCCTGAGGGTCAGGGAGCCAATGGAAGTGTCAAGTGGTGCTGAGTCCCCTCCCTGTATACCATGCCATTCTCCAGGAACTACCTCACGGGAACCAACAGTTGGTCCTCAGACCACACAAGAGGATGAGGAGAGAGTCTTTGGAATCAGGGAAACAGCATATTAGAATAGCTATACCCAAGACAGGAAGGAAAGAAGGCACATTTTGAGGTCATTAGGGATCCCCCCCCTTGTTTCCCCACCCCCACCCCACCCCAAGCCTCAGCATGGATACAGAAAAGGAAGAAGTCAAACCCATTGCCATAGAGTCTATTTCAACTCCTCGTAACCCTACAGGACAGAGTAGAACTGCCCCACGGAGTGTCTGAGGCTGCCACCTTTACAGAAGCTGACTGCCACAGCTTTCCCCCAGGGAGTCGCTATGGGTTACGACCAGGGATCTTTGGTTAGCAGTCCAGGGCTGAGCCACTGTGCCGTCAGGACTCCTCTCAGTCGGAGTTTGGGGAAGCAAAGACGTAGAGGCCACCTAGTTGTGGCCATTCAGAGCCCCAGGGGTATGCCATGGTATATCCAGGGCCAAGACCCTAAAGGCATTTGAGTTAGGAGTCTTCTGGTTGCCAGGAGCAAAGAAGCATTGCTACCACCAAAGAAGGGGAGTGAACAAGAAGGGACCCTAACACGTTAACTATACCTGAAAAGCCTCAGCAACCAAAGCTGCTTCTGAGAGCAAGGGCAGTGCTCCCAGGCTCGCCCTGGCTCTGCTTCTCCACACTGAGTGCGTGCTGCGCCTGTGAGCAGTTTCTGTTCCCTCGTGATTTGCGTTGCCCAAGGGCTTCAGCTTGTCATGCATGCATGGCCTCACCTCCCTCGGGCCTTCTAAACAGTTCCTGGGAACTACACTTTGTCAGTCATATTCCTGGGAGAGGAAATCCAATTGGCCTGTTGAGGGTTGGTTTTGACTCTGTACTGTGAATCAGGTGAAGCTTGCCAGAGCAGACCTTCAGCTCAATATTCAGCAGTTCACACACATTTTGTTTCAGCTCCTCCAGCGCAGGTGCTTCTGTGGACCGTCACTCCCCCGCTTCCTCCCAGGCTTTCCCGTCCCTCTTCCTCCTCCTTCCCTAACCACTCTGAAACTTTGTCCGTAGGGAAATGTTGCCCTTTTGATCCTAAATGGTTGACTTTTCATCATGGGCAAGTTCAGTTCTAGACCTGAAGAGTGACGACGGACCATAGTCCTTGGGGTCCCACCGGGCACTCTCTGATTAGCAAGTCTGGGCTCTTTTAGAATTTTGAGCCCCGTACCATTTTTCTGCCACTCTGCTCCAGACCTCCTAATGTGATCTTCTTCCGAGCCATGGATAGTAGTAATTGGACACGTTCTAGCTCTCCTGCCCTCAGGGCTGTAGAGATTGAGTTTGCAATGGTTTATTAGTCCACTGCACTAATTTTTCCCACAATGTCTTTCAATTTTCATTGCTCCTCTTTCCTCCAGGGGAGGAGAGGCGGTTGTTGACAGATCAGTCTTTCAGTGGCAGACCACAGGGTACTGTAAGGATGGTGGGTCTCACGCATGGCATGTAGCATAGCACCCTCTCTGTGAAAAGGGAGGTCCCCATCGTGAGGCATCTGAGTGGCCTCCACCAAAGACCCGAGTTTGACACTAGATTTTAAAATCTGCCCCTGTAGCTCCATTGGCCAGCAGTGGACTCAGTCCCCAAGTTTCTAGCTCTAATAATGCTGGGTCTTGTCACTCTCACAGGTAAAGCATGGCCACTCCAAGTTGGTCTGGTGTGCGCTCATTGGAAGAACCTTCTACTACTATCGGAGCCACGAGGACAAGGTACTTCCCAGGGTGTGGGGTGGGCCTTTCAACAGCATCTTCTCTCGCGCTTCCTTCAACTCACATTGCTGTGGTCCCTGTCCTTGATGGAGGTCCCCAGCTGTCCACTCACCTCCGCCTAACCCCCCAAACACAGAAGCCAGCTGGCTGGAGCTCCCCAGAGTGCACCACTAGTGAAGTCTGCATGCACGGTCCAGGTGTGCCCCCAGTCGAGCCTCGTGCTGCTCCTGGGCTGGCTGGGATGCTCCTGTCAGCCTGCCCCTCCCGTGGTTCCCAGCCCTACAGAACCTAAAGGTTCAGAGGGGAGCCTCCCTGGGCCCCCACCACTCTCCCACTCATGGAAGACTCTTGTCCGCAGCGACCCCTGGGCCGTCTGCCCGTGCGGGATGCGCGCATAGAGGAAGTGGATCGATCCTGTGACTCAGACGAGGACTATGAGGCCGGAGGCACTGGGCGGTGGCTTTCTTCCCACTGCACCTTGGTGATTCACCCCCCAGAGCACAGCCCCACCTACCTCCTCATTGGCACCAAGCATGAAAAGGTATGTAAGGGGCTGGGCCTCCTTGGTGAAGCTTGAACCTGTAATTCCAATTGGTCTTCTCTCACACCCGAGTCTTCCAACATTTCCGTTTATTTCCCTCGCGCGCGTACTTTGTCAGTGAGTATTCCCTGAAAGCGAGTACCTTAGATTGAATTCACTCCCAATGATCACCATAGGACCACAGCTCGTCTACCTGGTCCCAAGGCTTTCTGCTTAAAAGCTACTGGCCTTGACTTCTACCAGCTGAAGAGCTAAACCCCACCATGGACTTGGCCCCTGCAAAGAACCTCTTCAGCACAGCTTTCGCCTCTATTCCTTCCACCCACTCCCCATCAGAATGCTTCCTATCCCCTTCTAGGACACGTGGCTTTACCACCTCACTGTGGCTGCAGGTGGCACCAGTGCCAAGGTGGGCACTGCCTATGAGCAGCTCATTCGGAAACTGATGGATGGTGAGGGAGATCCAGGTAAAGCAAGGGTGGCCATCACTGCTTGGGTTGGAGGATGGTGGCTGGTGGTTATGATAAGAAACCAGACAAAACACTATTATTCCCTGAAGCTGGTTGGTTTATCATCAACTACTAAATTTTTTCTCAAATATTTATCAGCTCATCAAATATGGTTCACAATGACCACAGGAGGTTGTGTGCATTGAGTTGATTCCGACCCAGAGTGCCCTACAGAACGGAGCAGCGCTGACCCATGGGTGTCCCAGGCTGTAACCTTTATGGGGACAGACTGCCAGGTCTTTTCTCCTGTGGAGCTGATGGCGATTTGAACCACTGAACTTTGGGTTAGCAGCAGTGTAGTGAACTACTGGCCCTGTGTTTAAAGCTGTGTTTAAAATCTGTACAGAAGTAGTTCTCATCCTACCCTCTGGGACCCCTCTAACTTTGGTCAAGATACAGAGGTGACCACTCCTTGACTTTGCAGGGACCCCGGGTAAATGTTTTCCAGTGTTCAACCTGCTGCTTTGATGGCAGGGCAGAGATGTGAGCAATGAAAGTAACTGGTTAATCTATAGTTAAGAGTTTGTTAATCAACAGGTAAAACCTAAACAGGGGTCAGTTAACCCTCAGCCTAGGGCATCTTGAGGTCTCTGTTTTGCACTGAGACGTGACACAGAGCCCCAAGGAGCTAAAGGCTCCTTTTGTTGCTCGGAGGTTCATTTCAGGCTGACACTTGCACTACGCCAGCCAGAAAAGAAACTGCCGAGGGGGGGCTGACCCTGCACACACACACTGCACACAGCTGCCCCCGGCCTTGCACACACACACGTGTCTCAGCTCCATGAGTAAAGCGGCAGCCACATTCCTGTGCAGTCATGCCTGCGTGTACCGTCGCTGCAGCCCACCACTGCCCAACACACATTATGGCTGCTAGCCCCAGCACATCCGGTGTGTCCCGTGAAGAGTGTGGGAGTGGGAGGTGGGCCCGCATCAGCGCTAGCTGCCGCAGCTCTCTGGCACTATGCTTCCGGCAGACTCCCCGCTCTGGAGGCACCCTATGCTCTGCTACAGCAAAGATGGCCTGTACACCTCGCTCACCACCCTGCCCTCGGAGGCCCTGCAGACAGAGGCCCTCAAGCTCTTCAAGGTAAAGTCGGCCCTCCGGCTTGTGGCGCTCATATCCGGTGCCCAGGCGCTGCCGGTGCCACCCACGTTACCATGGTCATGCTCAAGCGAAAGAAACCCCGGCAGTGAGGGGGTAGTCTACAGAGGGCTCTGAAGAGGACGGGAACATCCCCAGGAGCCCACTGCTTGCTTTTTGGCAGGAAGAGCTCGCGGGGAGGGAGCTTGCTTAGGGACAGTCCCCTGGAAAGCTCCAGAGAACCCCTCCTGGGAATCACCCTCCTCCTGTAGTTGACAGCAGGAAGGCTGGCATGACACGATTTCTGCACCTACTTAGAATATTATTCGTGCCTGTCTGGAGTTTCTTCTCCTTTATTTTGTGAACACGTGTGGCTTGTGCTCTATCCCAAAGTGCTCCCTTTCAGCAAGCATAGCTGCTCACAGTGAAAAGGCTTCCTCTCTAGGAGGGGCTGTCCATGAACTTGAGTCTTCCTGGGATCCCTGGGGAATGGGCCAGCCTGTTCAAGTCTCCCTTTGCCGTCAGAGATGCCATTCCACTGTCACAGAGAGGGCGAGCATCTGGGGCGCTGCGATCTCTGTGCCCACTGCCCTTTCCCTCACAGTCCTGCCAGCTCTTCATCAACGTGCCTGTGGAAGCTGCCTCAGTGGACTACCACGTGTCCTTGGCCCAGACGGCGCTACAGGTGTGCCTGGTTCACCCTGAGCTGCAGAGCGAGATCTACTGCCAACTCATGAAGCAAACTTGCTGTCGGCCACCTCAGAAGTACTCCCTCATGCAGGTACGCCTCTCCAGGCACGGGGCAGCTGACCGCCACTGACGTGGGCAACACAGGAGATGGGCAAGTGGCAGGAAGGACTGGGCGAGCATCCGTGGAGCCTTTATTTCCCAGATTTGGAGCCAGCCAGGGGTCAGCTGTGGTTCTCAAGGCTCCCTGAGCACAGGCACCCCCCCCTCGAGATCTCTATGCAGATTGATTGTGTGGTGGTTGTTATTCTGGGCAAAGGCCAGCCAAGTTGGCCAGTTCAGGTACCCATCCAGGGTTGGGGGCTTGAACTTGGGGAAGGAGTGCCGAAGGCCCTGCAGCACAGGACTGTGAGGGCAGAGAGCACTGCAGACCCAGCCTCAGCCCACAGAGCCTATTTCTCCTTGCAGTGCTGGCAGCTCCTGGCTCTGTGTGCCCCCCTCTTCCTGCCTCAGCATCACTTCCTCTGGTACGTCAAGCAGCAGCTCCAGCGCCATGCAGACCCCAGGTGAGTGAGCATTTCTTTCACCATTTTAACACTTCAGTGTAGGACCTGGTGAAGAGATTAGGGGAACCTAGAGGCGACTGGGAGAAGCTTCATATCGCCCCCCGCCTTTGAGATATGCTGGGTAGTACCCTGAGGTCTGAGCATGTGAGCTTCTGGGCACACAAGTCCACGTACCCCTGGGTTTTGTGGGTGTTCCCATATGAAGTCATGTTCCTGTTAGTTGCTGTTGAGTTGGCTCAAATTCAAGGCAACCATATTATATTGAATAGAATGAAACACAGCCTGGTCCCTTAATGAGCTTGGATAGATTTGTGCCCACATAAGGCCATATTGCCCTCCAGTGTTCATTCTCTGTTGCTGTACGCTTCAGGTTTCCAGAAGAAAACACCCACATCAGCAACCTGCCCCAAGTAGGCCCTGAATGACATACTAAATTAACGCTCTGAGTCTTCCAGGCTTTTACACCGCCTGACCCAGCCTACAGATTTGAGGAGGGCACAGGGCTGGGCAGTGTTTCATTCTGTTGTGCATCGAGTTGCTACGAGTTGAAACCGACTTGATGGCACCAAACAACAGGTCTGGGGCAGGCTGCCAAGGTGGCAAGGCTAAATGGAGTCCCTAACATCCTCTTCCTCCTCCTCCTGTGTTTTTAGAAATGAAACTGGCCAATATGCCACTTACTGCCAGCGGGCAGTAGAGCGGACCCTGAAGACTGGGGAGCGGGAAGCCAGACCCTCTCGCATGGAAGTAGTCTCCATCCTGCTGCGTAACCCCTTCCACCACTCCTTGCCCTTCAGCATCCCCGTACACTTTACCAATGGGACGTACCAGGTAATGAGAGGCTGAGCATGCTCCCTGTCCTGAGTCTCCATAACCCTGCTCCATAGGAGAATACCTTTGGTCTAAGTGAGTGCTACACCTTCTTCTGCTTGGTGGTCTTACTGGGCAAGCCAGCAAATGGAATAGCAAGTGGGGGTGAATGTCCTTGTGTACAGAAGGAGAAAGAGCTTTGATCACTTTACTATTTGGTACTCTGGAACCGATGTTTTTACAGAGGAGCTGAGATAATGACAAGCTTGATGGGAAAGGAGGCACATTGTTTGTGCCAGTTCCCCTCCCTTTACAAAGGACAGACTCCCGGTCCTTAAGCACTCTGCTTATGAACAGGGAAACCAACTGCCTTGTGTTTCTTGCATTCCCCCTTGCTCTGTTCGGTCTGCCCTTCCCACCTCCCGTCCAAAACTGCTTGGCTAGCCCTGCTGAGCTCGTCCCAGGAAGTTCACTCTGGGATGACCGGCCCCTCTCTCCTCAGGTGGTTGGCTTCGATGGCTCCTCCACCGTTGATGAGTTCCTCCAGCGGCTGAACCAGGAGACGGGCATGAGAAAGTGCTCCCACTCTGGCTTCTCCCTCTTCACGGATGATCCTTCTGGCAGGGACGTAGAACATTGCCTCCAGGGGACTGTCAAGGTGATCAGTCTCCCCACTGGCTGATGACACCTCTTGAACCCCCTGCCAGCTTAGTGGCATTGGTTGTGGGGAGAGCCCAGCTAGTGGGTACCTGTTCAACAACCCGTTCTATGCAGAGCCCAAGGGCTCCCCAAAGGCACAAAGACATAGATGCGCTACACAAAAACCTCTCTGTACAGGCAGAGAAAGGCTGCTGGAAACCAGATCTCCACTCCCTGGCTTCCCTCAAGTGGCTAGCCCACATTCCAGAAAAAGCGTCTCAGCTCAGTGTGTAGGAAGGGCAGCGGGGCACTTCTCAGCAGCAGTTCCAGCGGAGCCTACTTCCACGTATGGACACATCTGTACCAGCGGACAACTATCTGCTGAGATCCGCTGGCAGTCATGCTGCACACATCACCTCCCTGGCCCCTCTGTGTGCCTATGCTTGTAAATCCACCCAGAGTTTAAGGGAGTTGAGACTTATGATACCTCTGTAAGCAAATAGCCCTTAAGAGGGATTTAAGAAAGGCCTACTTTATATCGTGGTCTGGGATTAGTGCCATGGGGTGGTAAGTGCTGTGGGAATAAGCTGAAACACTTGCTGTGACTATGTCAGTGCCAGGTGTCTGCTTCATGGGAACAGGACAGGCTCGGCAAGTCTGTTACCACTGATGGGCATAATGATGTCATGTGCCTTCCTTGTATGGTTCCTGCCCCTCTCAGGCTCTGTGACGTAGTAGGATTCTGAGTGTTTGGGTTGGGGAGGAGAGTGGCAGTCAATGGAACAGAAATGGACCCAGTGACACGAGGCTGTATGTTTTCACTGCGGGGGAAACGGGCTGTGTTCAGGCAGTGAGGGCAGCATGTCTTCCTTCGCTGCTCACACCACACGTAGGGACCCTTCCACTCTCCACACAC